GCACGCAGGGCTCTGCGCATCAGCGTTGGTCTCCAGCATGTACTCCATACTAATTCCTGTGGCCACCTCTGCAGTGTGTACTTGCTCCTCCGTGAAGTGCTTCGGTGTTGCCAGCAATGCTTCCATTTGTCCATCCGAGGTGAAACCCGGGGAGGTGACGACCGGCACTTTCATCGGTACCTTCATCGTCGCGTTTGCTGCTGATGAAATGTGCGCGCCACGGGGGGATCCTCAGTGCGTGTGCATCGGGAGGTCCAGGCCTGGAAACGCTACGGGTACACCGTGTACAACACGTACGAGATCAGTATGCGGTCTGCTACCGTGGTATGAGTGCCATGTGTTGGTCACGGACCTTGCAAACGAGGCAAGCTCGCTGTGAGGCATGAGCGGATAACAACGATGGCAAACAACTCTGGCACATTTCGTTCCAGCTTCATCGAGATCTAAGACCCCATAACTTCTTAACAGAAATACTATAGCAGTACTAGCGAAGCGATAGTAGCGACTGGACTGCAGCAAACATTCCGTTACTGTAGGCGCTGAATTCACGAAGATAAAGGAGCAGAGAACACGGGTTGTCTTCACTGCTGTTCCTGCCCTCCATCAGCGCAGAAACATCTCCGTCAAACCATCCGCGATTTCCTCCGGATACTGCAGGACGACACCGTGGCCACCGTGTTTGAAGAACAGTGTCTTCACGTGGTCTCCTTTGAAAAATTCACGCAACGTCTGCGTTTCACGTGGAGGAATGAGAATGTCCATCGCACTGCCAACCAGCAGAATCGGAAATCCGGCGTCATTGATCGCCGCAAGACGTTCATCTGAAATCCAGTGTGTGCGGACAGCGAGTATCTGGTTGATCAGCCCGAGGATGGATGGCTTAACGCGCGTCGTGGCTCGATCTTCCAGGTACTTGTAGATTACTTCCCGCTTTGTGTTGTCAACCAAGTCCATCGGCTGATCCAGGAAGTCGTCGCTAAAAAGCAACTTCAGCTGTGCCTTAGCAATTTCGTTGGGTTTCTTAGCATCCAAGCTCTCCTTCATCGGCGCTTTGGAGCGAGGATCTTCGTTAAATTTGCCGCGTGTTGTCACCATGAGAATAAGTGACTTTACCCTCTCGGGGGCCGCCAACGCAAGTTCCTGAGAGATCATACCGCCCATGCTGATGCCTACAACGTGAGCAGTGTCCCACTTGATGTGGTCCATCAAAGCCAAAGCATCTTGAGCCATAGCGCTCGTGGTGTAGCGCCACCAAGGCACATCCGACCCTCCCACTCCACGGTTGTCGAAACTCACCAGCTTCACGTTGCGCTTATGGTTGGCATTGTTCCATTTGTGCAGCAGTATGTCGATCAGCGGTGTCCATGCCTCTTTGATAGTCGCGAATCCCATGATGAGGATCACG